CCACGCGGCGTGGGGACGCACCTGGAGCTCCCGCAGACACTGCCCATCCAGCCGGCCCGACATGTCCCCGACGCACCAGGCCAAGCTGATGTGGAACGACGGGTCCTGAAGACAAAGCAGGGACCAGAGTGTCAGGGCTAAAGGAGGCTTTGCTCAAGGGACGGAGCCACGGCGGGAGATCCGGTGCGATGCTGCCCTGCCTGGGACCGCAGGGGTTGGAGGGTCCCGACGCTGGGAGCCCCCTCTGCCTGCTCCATGGCTGCGGAGCCAACGCGGGCAGTGCTGGAGGGGAGGTGAGTCCCGGGCTCCCTGCCTCAGCCTCTCCGAACACCAGTGGGCAAGGCTGCCTGGTTCCCAGCCACCCCGTGGTCAACTCCGCAGAAGCTTTTCCAGCTGCACAGAGAACCTCTCACGGACAGTCCCGGAGCAGGTAGGTGGGTTACTTCTGAATAACCCACCAGAGCCCCCTGCTCAGCTCTGGAGACAGAGGAATAGGGGTTCAGCCCTTTGAAGTCCAAAACCTGTCCCCAAAGCCAGCACCGGCAGCAAAGAGGCTGGACCGATGCCCCAGGAAACAGCCCAAGCATCGTTTTCAGTCCCACAGTGCTCAGCCCAAGCCTGTTCCATCCTAGGACAACCCTGCTTCCAGCACAGCGGGGCAGCGACCGTGACGCGTGCTCTGGCCATTCATTCCCACAAACCCGATTCTCGAGAGGCTGTGGGACAGTGAACACCCTTCCTCTCCTGCACAGGACGCAACAGAGAAGTCCCAGACTCGCGCTAGTCCCATTCTCAGCAAGATGGTGTTCCGGGCGTTACGTATGACCATCACCGACTGGAGACCATTTCAGAGTCTGATCTCCCCACTCCTGTTTATTCGGGGTGAACGTTCCACAGAGCTCTCGCAAGGAACCAGCCGACATCTCTGGACCGGCAGGGAAGGAGTGGGAGACCCCTCACCTTGTAGAACGTGGGCAGGTCAAACTCCTCCAGAACTCTGTCCACCTCCGAGACCAGCTCCAGCAGCTGGAAATGCCCAGCGGAGACCTCCAAGCCAATAAAGGTCCTGAAGAGAGACAAGGAGAGACGGCAAGCACCCTTCCATGCTGCAGCAAGCACGGCTGCGAGCACGCTGAGCCCTGAGTTCCCACTGGGCAAATTCCCTACCCCCTAACGAAAGATAATTTGAGGAACACCAGGTTTAAACATTCAAGGACATGGATGGTGTGCTGAAGAAAAACAGAAACAAGGACATGGCAGCAGGGAGAAGCGGGACTGTAGGATACAGCACATTGATTCACCAGATCGACTCGGCACCTTTCAGGACACAAACACTCATTTTACAGGCCCGGGAGGCACCGGATGGGTATTTCCACAGAGCGCCGTGCCGGGCAGGAGCTGCACGCAACAAGCGGAAGTTGCCGGAGGGGTTTTACAGTGGGAGAGGAAGCGGGGAACTCGAGAGGTGACAAAGAGGCACCTCCTCAAGGACTCTCCGGGTGACGCCTTCTAGACTCTGGGAGGTGAGGGGAAGACTAAATCTCGCCCACGACCCGCTTCGTCCTGTCCACGACTGCCGTGGGAGCCATTCCCGCTAGATTCAGCGCCTTATCACAATTTTAATCACCTTTGCTTTGACATTTAAACTACTTAATTGCGCTCGGTTGCCATCAGGCTTCCGATTAATTGCGCTCGGGTGCCATCAGGCTTCCGAGCTGACACCCAGGAGAACTGGCACCGTCTGAGCTATTTCCCTCCAGCTCTTGGGAGAGCTGCACTGCAATTTCACAACCGGCACGGCTGCCGAAGAGAGGGGGCCCTGGCTCTGCTTGCCCCGGGCCGCTCGTGCCAGCGCGAGGGTTTGCGAAGCCGCAGAATGAACCAGCGAACCCGGGCTGCCTCCTTCAGCCGCTGTGAAACCCTGGCACGAATCGAAACCCCAGCGGGAAGGCCTGCCTTGGGTGATGGTGTGAAGAGATCTCCTCTCTTCATAAGACTGAAACCCTGCAGCCTCAGGAATGAGACCCACGGCTCGCAGAGAGAGAATCAGTGCTGCAGCTCAAGATTTGCGCGAGGAAAAGCACGAAACCTCTGGGGACAAGGTGGTTGCGTACCGCCCTGTCGCACGGTGCAGCCCGGCCGCCCGGCCGTGGCCCCAGGCGGGCAGGCCGCCCTGCTGCTTGCTCACCTGGTTTTGTTCTCGTTGGTGTAGACCTTCACTTGGTCAGCCACGCAGAAGAACCTGAAATAAGAAAGATCCTATTTCAGTTAGGGGAGGGGGGGGAGAAAAACAGAAGATTAAAACAAGCAGATGGGGAGGGGACAGGACTTCTACCGAGTTGTGGAAAGATAAATGCAAACGCGTGCCGCAATGGGACCAAATCGGTGCGGCCAGAACCTTTCTGCGCCCAAACTAATCCGTTCCCCCTCGCTCTCCAGCCCTCCGCAGCCCGGACGCCAACAGAAGCCCTGAAGCAGCTGATGCTCTGCAGGAGCCTGGGAAGCAACGGAACCACCCGCGGCTCCGCGGACGCGCAGC